AGGTCTGTAAATAACCGAGTCTGGACCAGACAATCCAGTGATTGATGTCATGAGCATCGCTCCACGCAAGTGGGATACGATGACATGCATCATCCAAGTCAGCGAGCCTGACCACCCGATCACGTTAGTCCATCACTAGTAAAAAGCCAGTGCTGCTATATGAAGTTACACGGCTAGATGTTAGCTGTGTGAATGTGGCAGTTAAGGTATGACATTCAGTGGTGCAGTGGGTCTGCAGCCGTCATCTTCCAACACAGAAACTATCTTCTGTATTAACGTATTCAAACTATTGTCATTTGTCACGGTGCTATAAACCTGTGACTCTGGGTTCGTATCCACGATTCTCCTTGATTAACTTTCTTGGTTTCACCAAAGTTGCAAAAGACCTGCATCACCATGATCTTCCTACACGTGAGGATTTGGGTTAGACTTTCACCAACCCATGCTTGTCATAAGAGGTGACTAAGGAGTCGGGTGGTCGGGCTTGGTTGATGCATGTCATCGTATCCCAATTGTGTACAATGCTCATGATGTCAATCACTGGATTATCTGGTCCAGACTTGATTATTTACACACTGCCGTTATATAGCTGGAATATTGCTGAGTGCAGCATTGAACACAAACAGACAGACAAACAAACAAACAAACAAACAAAACCATTACCTCCAAGATCAAGCTGACACGCTGTGATATAACTGAAACTTGTTCAAAGTGTCGGCAAATCCAACTCACTCACTCATTTTGTATGAGTCATAAATTTCTCCAGAATATGGCTGAAAGAGGCATAAAATCATACACACATGAAACCCATCAATAATTCCTCCTTCACACAACCAGCAATTTTCAATACCTTAATCGCGTGGGCCGGCTCATGGGACCTTAGATTGGCAGTAGCTGGCCATGATATCAGCATCTCACGCTCACTCAACCTTAGTCTTGAACCATCACTGCAGTTACATATCTACCCCATAAGATAAAACTCTCAAATCTGCCACCCAAATTGATGATCGAAATATTTCAACATATGAGAGTGTAATGGGAGCTTTTGCCCCCCAAAATATGTAGTTATCTCGATGAGGATAATTGCTCCTCCTAAAAAGAAGAGTTACACAACAAAAATCAATGTTCATGTCTGGTGGCAAGAAGGTTTGTGTGATGCAGCATCCATAGCCTAAATACCTTCGAGAGACTTTGAGGTAGAAAATAACTTCCCCATCTGGCCTCCATGTCAACTCCACCACAACTGAGACCATCAAAGGAATAGATAAAAATAACCTGGACAGCCTCAATGTCACCAGCCCTTTCAGCCCACCTGTCTAGATGAGGTTTTCCTGAACACTCATCCTCACCAGAATATCCTAAATGAGAGGAGACATTTGCAAGGATTCAGAGACCCACAAAGGAAGGTTCAACTCTTTTTTTTATCCCAATGTCTATTCTATGGAGCGGCCTTCATAAATAGACATTATAAGATGGAGATGAGGTCATAAACAGGATTCTGTTCATATAGTGGTTCCATTCATCTCTGTTTTAGGTTTAAAGGACATTTGAAATTTTCTTTACTTGCCATCTGTGCTGCTGATAAAAGTATTTGCAACAAATAGAAATGTCAAACTGAGGGTCTCTGTGATGTTTATCGTACAGATTGTTTCACAACTTTGATTCCAGTAACATTATCTTACTTTCATCATTGATAGCCTCTTCCGAGTTAATTGAGTTTAATTCTGCTTTGAACAGTATTTCAGTCATATCACAGCATGTCAAGAAATGTTGGAGGAAAGCTCAAAGGGTTGCAGGGCATTATCCACTGACAAAACCCACAAGCATTGGTTTGGTGCTGATAAATCAAGGGGCATTACACAGGCCAAATGTTGGAATCAAACACGGCAGTGAAGCACAACTAAGGTATACAGCACTGCACAGCAACATGCAGCTGCATTGATTACTTCACAGACCATAGATCACCTGTCCCTCTGTTTTGATTTGAGACATTTAAGTGTGAAGCCAGCTGCAGCCTTAGTATAAAGAAAACTAGGAGGAAGGCTTCTCAATTTATAATCCCCATCTTAAATATGAAACAATGTTGTCTTTTAGCTGTAACACTACATCTCAGTTAATTGACAACCAATTCCTCAAAATAATACAGGCATCGATCTTCAAACATCAATGCTCCCCGTGAAGATTCGGGGAAGAATTGTTCTCACAGCCCATGCTTGCCATTAGAGACTTATGGTATAGGGTGGTCAGGCTCGCAGATTTAGTGGATGCATGTCATTGGATCCAGATAACGCAGATGGATGCTCATGATGTCAATCACTAGATTAACTGGTCCAGACTCAATTATTTACAGACCACCGTCATACAGATGGAATATTGCCGAGTTCACGTAGAGGACATCATCAGAGGGTTGTCAACACATGGTCACATATCGCTTTGCTTATATCAACTTTCTCACAAAAAACAGCAGAGCAAAACAATAAGTTCAAAAGTAATAAAAATATTTGTTACAGGTTTCATTTTTCTACTTCACTCATAATTTATACATGAAATGGAGTGTTGCAGAAACATGATACAGGGTTTTACCTTGACTTACAACAGTGGGGGACTGGACCCCCAATAATTAATTTTAAGCATCCCTGCAGGCAATATGAGGGTCCTGTAAAGTAATGAAATGGTGTAGTGTACTGTACATTCAGATAATTACTTTAGAGCCTGGTATCAATCAAAGATCATGTGGACAGTGGTCATGATTGATGGGTGAAATAACAGACACCCATAACTGCTCTTGATATGATGTAGGTACAATGAATATTATGCTGTGTCCCCCGGGATGCAGTATATTCTTTTTCTTCGTCCAATCTAAACATTTGTGAGTGCTGGACGCACATTGGTGATTCGCATAAAACCCTGATTATATTAGGTTGTTCGAGAGGAAACAACATCCTGCACAACACTAATCATAATACATAATGCACTGGTAATCCATGAATAATAATGAAGCAAAGAAAGGTAATTAAGTTCATTGCTAATGTGGATGTGGACAAATCAGTGAGTGAGTGAGTGAGTGAATGAGTGAGTGAGAGAGTGACTGAGAGAGTGAGTGAGTGAGCTCAGCAAACATGCATGTATGATACATGACCATATATTTCTAAATGTCCTCATAAAAAACTTCCTTGATATTGGCCTCTATATTCTTTGAAAGAAATACAGCTCTTGAAATAAGTATTAGCGATGAAAGGCTACCAAAGGACACACAAAGCACCAAATCAATAAGGAAATATATTTGAAAGACACATTAAATTCTTGGTATTTTCCTAATAACATGTACTTTTTGTACGAAAAAACTTTGCTGATCCTTTTTTTTTCATGGAAATGGCGGTCAAGAAGGAGAACTATGCAGAACCCAAATCAAACGGTCCAGATTTCATTACTTTAGTTGGTCCAGACACAGTTATCTCCCCCTTATCCCCCTGCGGAATAAAACAAACAATGACATTATTTCATTAGGACCATAAGTAGCACTTCACTGACATATCCCCAGACAGAAAAACACCCCACACTGAAACAGGCAAAGGGCACACCTGATAATTAGTTTTCCCAAGAGTTTTCTGATTCATCAATATATCGCTGTTGTCCTTTGAAATAATTTAAGTATACTACAAAAACAAGAGAATGGTGACTAAGGTGACATTTAAAACTGGAAATATTGGCCAAGTGTTGCTGTTTCAATAGGTCATAGCCTGTACATAAAGATCTAATTGCACTTGCAGACAAAACATGCATAAGATTTGCAGCTGCCTGTTCCGACTGTCTCAAACTTAGTAATGGATTCATTCATTAACCAGACAGTCCACAAAGGATCTTCATACCTTTCAGACAGGAATATGGCCATTTACACCCAACCTTAATCTAAAGAAGTGGCAATATCCTTATGAAAATAAATACCAACGTGAGTATCATTGCATAAGGAGATCAGTTCTCTTTTGCATCCATCATGATCATATTCTGTGGCCGAATAGGTCCAAAGTTACTTCCACTCTGTGAAAGTGAAAACTTTCATTGAAACGTTGTGGTCATCTCGTTGCTGTTTATTGCCTCACAAAAGGAGCATAAGTGGAAGAGTTTCTAAGCTGCTGCATTTCTGTGGGCAGAATTACATCCCTTAGCTAAGTCAGGATCTGGCATCCAAGGAACAGATAGAAATAATTATCACTGGTCTGTCAGCACCATATCTGTGCCTATGTTGTAAAGATCTCTGACTTACAACATGGTGTAGCCACAATGCTGTTCAAATCAGAGCTGAACCAACCAATGTAACTCACACTTGTTGGAGACATAAATTGAAGACAATTCAATTAGAAGTGTGAAAAGATACTGTAAATCGTGAAATTAACGCGAGCGTGATTTAAATGCGAAAAATGTGAGTGGTCTTTGCTTGCATGATTAAAACTTGCATTTATATCAACAATAAGACTTTTTGGATATTATAAATACCAACTTAGACACACGCTGAAAACAAACAACTATGTATTCCACACCACTGTTTATTGAGCAGCACTTGTAACAAGTATATAAACAATGTCATTCAAACAGTAATTACATCCTGTGAATTGTCACTGCTGGGGTGAAGACAAGAGTTCTACTCACTTATGTCATCACTGATCACACCTGCAAGTTCAGACAGATGCCACCCTCGCGACAGGGTGTCTTTGTTCTTTGCAACTGCGTCATAGGCCGACACAAGCCAGCACGCATGCAAGGCCGTAGTTAACTTTTTTTGACAGGGGGGGCAAATATGTGTACAAGTATCACTTGTCCCCAACTTGATTCAAATAAAACTGTTTTCTATAAAAAAAATCCAGGGGGGGCAACTGCCCACCCTGCCCACCCTGCCCCCCCCTAGGCTGGCTACGGCACTGGCATGTAATTTAGCAGAAGTACTCTAATTTCACAATTTACAGTATTGACATATAGGAAAATGCAGTGCTCATTAAGCAACACTTGACTTACCAGCTGGAGCTCAATTAAAACGTTTCCAAGGATTATGTGTACCATGTCAATTATTATTAATTAGAATTGAACCATTGTTAAATGATCTATCATGCATACATGTGAACAATCCGGGAAATGGTAAACAGGCAGCAGCTGAACCAGAGGTCAATCCATATACAATGCATGCTAACACATGATATAAACATATTTATTTCCATAAAGTGGAGGGATTGGCAAACAAGCAAGCTAACATATGTTGCTCATGGCTTCATATCAGAAGAAGTGAGCTGAGAAGACACCATATAGCACTGAGCATAGGAGTTTTTAACAGTCAGATCCAAGGGACAGAAAAGGAGGTTGGCCAATCTCCCCAAACCAATGCCCTTTGAAAGTATTTTGCATGGACACCAGTCTATAGTGAGTACTTTTAAATTTTTTGTTTTGAGAAAAACGTACCGGTTTAAATGAAAAGGGTCAAAATGTAAACATGATTGATAGTAATGAATATATTGCTGATGATTCATGGAACAAAGACCAGAACCATTCCAGTACTTGGAGAAAATAATTGTCTGAGAAGTTGGTCAGCGGTTAAAGCATCTACTAATCATGCCAAAGATCAGTTGGTTGGTTGGTTTTTTGTTTTATGCTGCACTCAGCAATATTCCAGCTATATGACGGCAGTCTGTAAATAATCGAGTCAGGACCAGACAATCCAGTGATTGATATCATGAACATTGATCCAGGCAATTACTTCTTATGTTAAGCATAGTCGCCAAAAGTTTCAGTGTTTCATGAGTCCTGTGTTAATATTATCTAAATCTGACAACAAATTTCAATTTTTTTCTCTTCAACAAAGAAAAGTTCCGAACATCATATCCACAGAGTGAGTGAGTGAGTGAGTGAGTGAGTGAGTGAGTGAGTGAGTGAGTGAGTGAGTGAGTGAGTATGGTTTTACACCGCTTTTAGCAATATTCCAGCAATATCATGGCGGGGGACACCAGAAATGGGCTTCACACATTGTACCCATGTCGGGAATCGAACCCGGGTCTTCGGCGTGACGAGCAAACGCTTTAACCACAAGGCTACCCCATCGCCCCTCATATCCACAGAAAATAGACATATGCTGTGCTAATATAAACGCATTGTATTGAAGCGATGAAGCTGAGTTCCCTTTGAAACAAGAGAATATAATCTCAGTTAAAGTGGCGGGTTGTCAGCAAGGCTATAGGGAGCCTGCATGCCAGGCATAAAGCTGCTTGTTGTAAGTAATACTGCATCAGTGATGAAGAAAAGTGGTTGGCGGAAATGAGGGTACTTGCTGTGGTGTTTTCACAAACAAGTGGATCACACTGGTTACTTTCAGCTGGTAATAAGCCCTCAAAGGGAGTCAAATACACATGGGAGAAATCAATAGCCGCCAGTCACATGAGCTTGATTGACAGCGTCAATATTGCAAGGGACATCTGTTAGTTTTTTGTTCCCGTGTTTACAAAAAAGTGATGACCTGAAGATACAACCTTGAGACTTTCAGATTTCCAGGATACATATCATAAGTGCTACAGTGACTTCATTGAGTTTCTGACAACAATATGAACAATTTCAGGGGTTTGTGATGTAGCACAGTGGGTACTGTGTTTGTTCATCACAGACTGTCAGGGTTCAGTTTCCCCAAATACACATTATCATAAGTGCTACAGTGACTTCATCGAGTTTAAATCTGACATCAATATGAACAATTTCAGGGGTTTGTGATGTAGCACAGTGGGTACGGTGTTGGCTCATCACAGACTGTCAGGGTTCAGTTTCCCCAAATACACATTATCATAAGTGTTACAGTGACTTCATCGAGTTTAAATCTGACATCAATATGAACAATTTCAGGGGTTTGTGATGTAGCACAGTGGGTACGGTGTTGGTTCATCACAGACTGTCAGGGTTCAGGTCCCCATTGTCCATACCAACATCAGTAGGTACTATGGTTACTTTAATGAGTTTCCACCACTGAACAGATGAACAATTTAGATGGGTTTTCAGGTGGCACAGTTGGTACTGGGGTCGCTCATCATGGAATGTCAAGAGTTCAGATCCCTATATGGATGCAATGAATGAAGACAATAGTCTGTGTCTCCAGCTGTGAGAGAGTTACAGTGCTGTAAAACCCTCCCTACTCACTCTGACACCACATTGACACATTAAGGGTATCACTTGAACTAAAAATAACAATGGATGGGTAAGTTTATTTGATTACTGAGCATCAATTTAATCAGTCCTGGGATGTGACTATTTCAGCACCAATGTAATTACACCACTCCATGGAGTGTGACAAATCCCAGTTTACGGGAGTGCGGAAAAAATATTTCAGTCTCAACAGAGAAGGTGATAGAATTACCCAGGACATCTTGGAAGATAAGTTGCAAGTAGGATTGTGATTGAGTTGTATACAACTGGCCTGGTGACATTGGTGCATTGGCTTAGCAGGAAGCTAGACACATGGATATCACCTTGGCAAGAGATGAGACACATGGCTGTCAGCTAGATTACCCAAGACTACTTGGCTTCAGAGAAATATGTACAAAGTTGGGAAATAAATGACAATGGACAGGGGGGAAAGCATGGTGCTGGAATAATAGAGTATGGGGACTTACATAAAGGAAGGTTAATCAATTGGTTGGGAAGGCAATTCTTGTCATGTGGGTAAAAAATTTGAAAGTTTTATAAGATTTGTCAAGATATGAAAAAGCACTTTAAATATGGACTACCTGTTTTTTTTAATAAATAAGTTAAAGAAATAGTAAACTGCTTTCCGATCTCAGTCAAACATTGGAGACACTTTGACTCAATGTTTATCATTGTGATACACAAAACAAAACAGATTTCAATCTCAGAAATTAAACATATAAATATAGTATTCAAATTTCATCTAATTTAAAAAATACCAATGACTACCCACATCAGCTGTCATCACTGTAGTAAGGCCACCAACATCCTCCCCAAAATAGCATTGGGTTTGTTTTGTGAATCATAACATAATTCCTAAGCTATGAGAAAGTCTGTTTGTCTGGTTTAGTGAGTTTGAACACTGATTACCCATGGTACCCTGCATATTTCAGTATCATCAAAGCTTGTCAGCTTAATATTAGATAATGTCCAATTTCAGGTCATACTGGCACGATTTTATTCTTCTCCATTCAGAACTAGTCATTTTAGTTCGTTTTCCAGATACACAAATATGACATGCTGGTCGGAATGCTTTGCTAGAATCCTTGATACTGATTGCCTGATTAGAATATTCACCTGACACAACCTCCTATGGTTTCCTCAAGAGGTATTCTATCAGAGTAAAGGATCTAATTTTAATGAGATTGTCATTAATCAGTTAAGATAAACCAGTAGATAATGAGAGTACTTAGAGTCAACAGAGCTATCTAAGCACTAACATAATGTTTACATTTTAACATAGGTTTAAAACAGTCTTAGCCCTGAAATCTCTTTTGTGCAAGAGGGCCCAGATGACCTCTTCAAAACAACAGATTCTCGGCCATCATGTCCCCTTGTAATATATTATAATATCTGTTGGGCACAACTTGTAATAACTTGGCAATGGCTCCTCAGTAAGTCTCTCACTTAGCGGTCATAATGACAAGACAAGGCCATCAACTATGTCGCAGAAGACAACTTCATCACACTTGTTTCGGATGCCTCATCAAATCTCAAGTCCTCTTGTGGCTGATCAGATTAATTGCAGTAAATGAGCAAGGCTGGGTAGATAAGTGCAAGATGGTGAGGAGATTGATTTTCAAAAGGTCCATGCACTTTATCATAATGTCACTAAGTCTATTTGAGTGCAGGATTGGAGACATGAGCTGACAGTATATCTGGTACACAATTCAGCCTCAGAAACTGGGATTTCCTTACGCAATGGACTCATTCAACAAGGAGTTGAAATGAACTCTTAAAAACAGTTTCTAAAAAGTGTGAACCTAAACTCAAAATGTACCCTTAGAATCAGTTTCTTAGATCCAAAATGTCACAACTTTTTTCCACAATGTACTCTTAAAATCGGCTCCTTGCATCCAAAATGTGTGAACATGGTATGATAATGTACATGAATACTGAAGTGCACTTGTATCAATCACAGCCATGTAAATGTATATCCAACTTCTTCATACGCTGCAGTTAGTGCACTATGTCGACATTACAATATCATCACTCCAGCAAAAATCTGCAATGGGTTGATTTGTGAACAGCAATGAAAGTCGGTTTCTTGGCCTAAAACTGTACTGTCATGAAACCATGAATCTTGACCCAGCAGTGGGATCTAAGATAAATGGGCACACAAGAAAATTGACTGAAAATAGATCCTTCTGGCTTGTGAGTAATGATAAATTTGTTACATCTCATTGTAAGGGATTTGGGGAGTCACAAGTCAAATCCTGTAGCAGCCATCAACCTTGGGTGAAAGTCCAGTAAACCAGCAAATGACAGTCTTTTAAACATGCAAAGAGTTGTGGCCTGATTGAAGGCAAATCCCATGCTTATTCCTACTTCTATATTGCAGTTGAACAGCAAATAACTTAACCACTGCAAGTTTTTAGTATATCAGTACATATGACTGTAAGGCATGGTACATAATGTAAAGATTTGATGGTCTCAAATAAATATTCATATAAATTTATTCAAACCAATCTGCAAAAAACTAAATCCAGCTCTGCTGCAAGCTGAAATAAGATGTGAAACAAGATACTTTTATCTGATGAGGTATCTGGAAGCTAAATACTACGATCCAAAACCATTATTTCCAAATACTTCCAAAAGCTAAAATCAACTTACAATGATATATACCCATAATGGCATTTTATTGAGGTCACCAAATCTATGCTTCATAAGGTGATGCCTAGAGCATGATGACGATGAGTTTACGCAAGGAGTCTTTGACTCCTCCTCCTCCTCCTATTGCCAGAAGGAAGAGTTACAGTTCAACCACTCATCCTACCCGAGCCAGAAGCAATAGCAAATTTGACCATTCTCTTCCAAGAGCCCGAAGCAAGAAAAACGGACATTGGTCAGTGTGTCAAAAGATAATTACAAATGGCTCCTTGACAAGATTATATTGGCAGTGCACTCACAAATATTTTTCTTCCATTAAGTGTGCAATCTCCTAGATAATTTGTCATGTTTGCATTAGCCTGTCTGGTCCACTGACTTACTGGTGATGACCTGCTCTGGGTGGCCATGTCAAGGGTCTCCACCAAGGGTCTAAGTCTGTAGTATTACACCCAGCCCACACATTCTCATCAGAACAGGACTGCAGGTCATCGCCTGACTTACTGGAGCTGACCTGCACTGTCTTGCCACGTCAAGGGTCTCCAAGGATCGCAGTGTTACAGTATCACACCCAGCCAACAGTCTCTTCAGGA